TTCTGCCTCTCCACCATGCACATGCATGCACACACACTCTCCCTCTGTCAAAAATAAATAAACTTCTTTAAAAAGAAAGAAAAAGAGCTAAACAGTAAACTCAAAGAAAGAAGAAGATAAGACAACTATCAAGGAAGGAAAAAACAAAAAATAACAGAAAAGCAAAAGTTGGTTCTTTGACCACATGCTCATGCTCACTGGAGGCCAGGGAGCTTAGCCAGAGTAATGGCCAATACAGGGGTAGCAGTTGGACTGACCATTGCTGCAGGATTTGCAGGTTGTTATGTTCTGCAAGCCATGACACATATGGAGCCCCAAGCAAAACAAATTTTTCAAAGTCTACCAAAATCTGCCTACAGTGGTGGCTATTATAGAGGTGCATTTGAACCCATAATGACAAAATGAGAAGCAGCATTAGTATTAGGCATAAGCCCTACTGCCAGTAAAGGAAAAATAAGAGATGCTTCTTGATGACATATCCTTTGAAATCACCCAGACCAGGGAGGATCTCCTTATATAGCCAAAATCAAGGAAGCTAAAGATTTACTAGACAGTCAAGCTAAAAAATGACATAAATGTATAATGAATTTTAAGTTCTTGTTAGTTTATGTATATGAGTGCCAGATTCTTATAATAAAATGCCTGAAAGTTACAAGTTTTTAAAATGATTTAGTACAAGCTGAACCAAAGCTTTGGTATAAGTTTCTTCTTTGAATTTGAGGATTTTATATCAGATTATAGAATATTTGGAGATTCTGGAAAACAGTGTGGAGGTTCCTCAAAATATTAAAAATAGAATTGCCCAAGACCCCACAATTGCACTCCTAGGAATTTATCCAAAGTATACAGGAGTGCTGATTCAAAGGGGCACATGCACTCCAATGTTCATAACAGCACTTTCAACAATAGCCAAATCATGTAAAGAGCCTAAATGTCCATCAACTGATGAATGAATCAAGAAGATATGGTTTATCTTATGCAATGGAATACTACATGGCAGTGAGAAAGAATGAAATCTGGCCTTTTGTAGCAACGTGTATGGAACTCGAGGGTGTTATGCTGAGCAAAATAAGTCAGGCAGAGAAGGACAGATATCATATGTTTTCACTTATAAGTGAAACAGGAGAAGCTTAACAGAGGACCATGGGGGAGGAAAAGGGTAGAAAATAGTTGGGGAGAGGGAGGGAGGCAAACCATGAGAGACTCTTGAATACCAAGAACAAACCGAGTGCTGATGGGGGTGGGGGAGAGGGGAAGGGGGTGATGGGCATGGAGGAGGGCACTTGGTGGGATGAGCACTGGGTGTTATATGGAAACCAACCTGACAATAAACTATTTAAAAAATAATAAAAATAAATAAGTCAGAGAAGACAGACATCATATGATTTCACTCATTGGTGGAATTTTAGGAACTTAACAGATGACCATAGGGGAAGGGAAGGAAAAATAAGATACAGAGGGAGGCAAACCATAAGAGACCCTTAAATATAGAAAACAAACAGGGCTGATGGGTATGGAGGTTTGGGAGGGTGGAGAAAATGGGTGAAGGGCATTGAGGAGGGCACTTGTTGCGTTGAGTACAGGGTGTTGTATGTAAGTGATAAATCACTGGAATCTACTCCTGAAGCCAAGACTACGCTGTATGTTAGCTAACTTGACAATAAATAAGTAGATAGATAAATACATACATCATACATATTTGGAGACTTAACACTCAATAATCATGGATAAATACATACAATTGGAATAGAAATATTGTTCATTCATTATTCATTTAACAAATAATCTGTTACCTACTTCCAGCAAAATGAATGTGACATTCTCTGGCTTTTAAGTGTCCCAGTCAAATGGGATACTGATAAACTGGAACCTAAAATACAATGTGATAAATATATTTTTAACTTGGTTCTTTGAAATGAATAACAAAATAGACAAGTCTCTGGTAAAACCAATGAAATCAAGAGAAATTCAGAAATATATAATATTAATAATAGGTAGATACAACTATAGTAGACATTATAAAGATAACCAGAGAATATATCGACTTCTTTATGCCAATAAATTTGAAAACTTAGATAAAAATTCTTAGAAAAATATAATTTAAAACTAATAACAGAAGAAAAAAATTTCTGGATAGCCTTATAAATCTTAAATTAACTGAAGTAGTAGTTTAAAATCTTCCCACTCAGAAAAATAAGTATGGGGGGGAGAGGAATGTAAAATGTTATAGACATGTCCTACCAAACATTCAAAGAAATGATCATTTCAATTGTATATAACATCAATAAGGGACTATTCCCTCTTTATATAAACTCCCTTATTTATTCTCTAAGGCTAGTATAACTTTAATATCCAAACCAGACTTGGATATCCAATAAAGGAAAACTAAAGGCCCATTTTCCTCATGCATAAATATCCAGAAATCTAAATGAAACTATAGCAAACAAATTCTAACAGTATATTAAAAAGTTAATGCACCCATGACCAAGTCAGGTTTATCTAAGAATACAAGGTGGTTTAATATTAGAAGATGACGAGCACCAGGTGATGTATAAAAGTGTTGAATCGCTGTATAGTACACCTGAAACTAATATGACACTGTCTGTTAACTAACTGGAATTAAAATAAAAACTTTTTAAAAAAGGAGATAGCTAAATGTCATTTACCCATGAACAGCTTAAAGAATAAAAATATAGGACCATTCTAATAGATCACTGAAATGCATTCAGTAAAATTCAACAGTCATTCATAACTTTAAAAAAATTCATAGTAAAAGGAATTAGAAAAAACTTAGCTTGACATAGAACATTTACATAAAATATACAATATACATCATACTAAATAGGGAAATGTAGGATAAAGACAGGATATGCACTATCCATTTCTATTCATCATTGCACTAGAGGCTCTAGCCTGTGCAATAAGAAAAAGAAAGGCTTAAGAAAAGAAAAAAAATCAACCTATCATTGTTTGCAGACACAGTGATTGTGTATATAGAAAATCCAAAAGAATCTATATATAAATTAACAGAAATCAACTAAAAAGATCAAGATTGCTTACATAAAATCAACATAGAAGAGTCAATTTTGTTTTATACACCAGCAACATACAAAAAAAAAAAATCACAGTACACAATACATGATTTACAATAGAACCTAGCAATAAATCTAACAAAAAACATGAAAACCTATACACAGATAATTATAAACTGCACTGAAATACATTGGAGAAGATCTGAATAAAGGAGAGATATTTCAAGGTCATGAATATGAAAGCCTCAGAAAGATGTTAGTTTTCCCCACACTGATCTCTAGATTCAGTGCAACTCCAGCAAAACTTCAACAGGGGAATCTTCTGCCTCTGATAATGGTAAACTAGCTAATTCAGACTAAGCTTCCTACAGAAGACATCTTTAAAAATCTGGCATATATGTTTTTTAAAATTTCTTGAAATCATAAAAGAGCTAACTAGATCAAGATCAGGGAGAGGATGAGAGTAAGTGAGCATAGCACTGGCGATGTTTTTACTCTGAAGCCATTTAGTGATCTTGAATAGGCAACTAGAAGGTAGGATGCAATTTTTGTCTTTGCAGCGTTAGGCACATAAAAATTGGAGCCCAGCACCACTACTAGGGAATCCTGGCAAACCACCACCCTCATTGGGGCAGAAATGAGGATAAAATATAAATGAGCCAACCTCCCAGTTTCAAGCTATCTGGATGACTCAGATAACCATAAGCCCTGAAGTCATATTAAGATGATCCTGGTTTGCTGGTGTTACCAGGAATCAGCAAGCAGTGAAGAAGAAAATAGAGTCTTCTACAGAGGAAGATACCATCACCCTTCGCCTCAAATTGTTCCTACAAGTAATTTTTCTAATACAATGTCCAGTACACATTTAAAGTAAACCAAGAGCTCTAGACAAAATAAGCGACACTAGTAGAAATAAGGACGGAAACAGAAACATGGGATCTCCAGATAGTGGAATTCTCAAACACGGACTATAAAATGAGTATCTTTACTATGATTGAGAAGATAACCTCAAAACTAAAACACTTGGCAAGAAACTGAAAACTATAGAAAGTGTTACAGCAGATTTGAAAAACGACCAAGTAAAATTCCAGAATTAAGACATAAATAACTGGGTAAAAAACCAACCATATTGATGGCTTTAATAGCAGTTAAGACACGGCTACAGAAAAAATTAGTAAACTAGATTACAGGTAAAAATGAATGAGTGAATGCACACATACATATATACAACCCAAAAGAAGATCGAAAAGAGAAAAACACAGAAGAGACATAAAGAATACAGTCGGAAGGTCCAACACATTTAACGGAAGTCCCTAAAAAGTGAGAAAATGGGACCAGAAGCAATATGTGAAGAGATAATGACTCACATTTTTTCAGAAAACAGATAAAAGGCTTAAATTCAGCTTCAAGAATCTCAACAAATCCCAAGCAAGATAAATAAAAAGAAACGTGTATATATATATAGGCACCTTACAAGGATTTCCAATCCATTCTACACCACTGACTTGCCTTGGAAAGTTACCTGGTCCCTCTGAGCCTTAGTTTTGTAATTACATAGTAAAAATACAACCTACTTCATAAGGATGGTAAAAAGATTAAATGAGATAATATATGGAAAGTACTTAGCATATCACTTGACACATAATTTCTGTAACTAGCTATAAATGTTGGTTCTTGCTATTTATCATTAACACTTGCCATACCAAGTAGAAACCCCGCATTTATCTGGCTGTCGCCTCTACTGACCACCACACCTTTCCTGCACCCCAGTGGTGGTGGTGCAGACACCCAGAAAGGAATTATTCCCATCCCTACCCCTGACACCAGCTCTTAGGAGGGGACTTGGGGCGGAGGAGCCTCAAGTTCCACCCCTACCCGCCCTGGCCCCGCCCACCCCTGCGTGGCCACACCCTCTCCCAAGGGCCTGCAGAGCAGTTGCCTAGCAGTGTGTGTTGCGCTTTAGCCCAGGCTGGCGGCTTGGCTGCCATGCCGAAGAACGCAGTAGTCATCATGCGCTACGGGCCCTACAGTGCAGTTGGCCTGTCTGTGGAGTACCGCACCTTCCGCCTAGAGGGCCTGCAAGGTGGGTAGCCTAGCGCCAGAAGGCCACCCAGCTGCGTGTGCCCAGGCGCACCCCGGCCTCTGAGTGCCGGTGCAGACCGTACCCTCTGCCTATACCTCCTTCCTTCCGCAGACCCAGACCAAGTACCATAACCTCTGGAAAGTCTACCCTGAGCCTCTACTTCCCCAGGATGATTTAGCATCTTCCTCTGGCTTCCACTGCTTCGAAATAGGAGTGGAAACAAACATGCACTGGGTGCCCACTGGGTACTAGGCAGTTTACACAAATTATTTGGATAAGAGGGATCACGTAACCCTGCTTGAACGGAAGATCAAGAATATTAAGTGACTTTTCCAAAGTCACGTGGCTGGAAAATGGTGGGAGAGTCTACACTTTGGGCATTCAATCACGCAACAAACCTCTACTGAGCTACTATGTGTTGGACACTCTTCCAGGTACTGGGGACATACTGGCAAACAAAGATATATGTCCTTAAAATGACCGTTTCATTGTTGACTACCACTTAACAGTTGTACTGAGCCTCCACAGAGAGATGTAATCATAGTGGAGCCTGCCACTGGCAGTAATTGGAAGAGAGAGGGGAAGATCTGGAAAGGGTGTTTGCTACAATTATACTTGAGTTGAGCTTTAAAAAGCAAGGAGAAAAAAATAAAACAGGTAATGAGAAGGAAAAGCATGCCAGACGGAGAAACTACAAAGGCTGGAAGCGTGAACAAAGGAGATATTTGTTGAGCTGCGGAGAGGATAGGGCTGGAGAGGTAGGCAGGGGCAGATCCTGCACAGCCCTTTGCAACTTTCAGGCAGGGGGGTGAAACTGTGGCTGTCTGAGGAGAATGGAGCACAGAGGGCCAAGATTGGAAGCGAAGAGACAAGTCAAGAGACTTCAGGTGTTCCAGGGGAGAGATGAGAGTAGCTTGGACCAGGACAGCCATAGAGGGGAGGTGGATTAAAGTAAGAGGAAGGGGGTGGGAGGCAAGGGTCAGGAGGGTGTCCTCCAGATCCAGTCAGTGTCTGGCTTGATCGAAGTGCTGATGGACGGAAGTGCGCTACACTGAAACTGACGACTGACAACACGGATGGACTGTAATTTGGAGGAACGTACTCCATTTCGACCATATTAAACTTCATGTGTTTTCAGCTATGTAGATGGAGGTACTGAGTTAGCTCTGCAGTTCTGGAGCTCAGAGAAAAAGTCTGAGCTAGAGATAGAATGGTCTGAGTCATGGACTTGGGGACAACACATAGAACGAGAAGAGAGCCCAGACCTGGGTCTTCAGTCTTCAGCGCTTTTAAATGTTCTAATTTCCCATCGGAAACTTCTCACCAGCTCTGTCTCCCTGGGTTCATGAGGTTTATTGTATGTCTCAACAGTCTTCTGCCCAGACAGCTATGCATTTTTCATTTGCCCGCGGGCTGCCCACAGCTTTTCCATCCTGTGTGAGTTCCATGTTAGGTGAAACATAGATGAGGGCCTTGCGCCAGTCCCTGGGTAGCCCCCGGACTGGGCGGAACAGACACAGGAATTTGCAAAACATGGTTTGCTCTGCTCCCTTTAGACATAGAGACCAGGGCCCACACTGGGGTCAAGGGCTGTTATCTTCAAGGCTGCCAGCAGGTGAGGGAGGAGGCGGGGCAAAGGCAAGTAAAGATGTCACAAAGCTTTCTTACCATCTTGAAGTTGCCTTTGTCTTGAACCAGCATTTACTCTTTTGCCAACTTTGACTGTTTTCCAGAGTTCTGACAAAGTTTGTTCTGGCAGTTTCTGTTGTTTTTTTAATGTCTCTGTGGAGGAACCGGAGTTTGGAATGCCCGCTCTGCCATTTTGCTGATGCCTACAGACCCTTTTCAATCATGTTTCTTGCTGCTGCATAATCAGCATGACTGTATAGAGTTCAACTAGATCATTTCCCCACCAAGAATTATATTAAAGGAGAATGCATAAATAAACATTTTGTTATAATGTACAAATTACAAGTATTGAAGTGGGGGATACTTCCCGTCTAGTTTGTATACAAATTCCGTTGACTCACCTGGTCACCTCTGGTCATTTGTCTCCTACTTTCGTTCTTGGCACTGTTGACAGAGAGAACGGCAGGAGCAGAGATCAAGTGCAAGGATTCTGAAGTCCAGCCAATCTAACTTTGAATTGGTCTCCACCATTTAGTAGCTCTATGGCCAAACCCAAGATCAAGTTATTTCACTTTTGCAAGCTTCAGTTTACTTATTGGTAAAATGGGAGCAGATCCCTACCTCTCAGATGTGAGATTCCAATGGGAAAATGCGCACAGAGTCATGAATACCATACCTGCACATAGTAAATAAGCATTCGTCCTATTAAATCAGGGCACGGGGTTACTAGGAAGGGAAGGAGGGAGCTGCGTGGGGCATGCTGGGAAGCAGCAAGCCATTGGGTCTGGCTGTAGGGTGCTATGCAACAAGAGGGTCAGGCCTGTTTTACCCTTGGCAACAGGGAGCCAGCAAAGTTTCTTGAGCTAAAGGATCATGAGATTAAGGATGTGCCTTAAGAGATCCATCCTCAGAGAAGAGATCTGGGGAGGGGAAGTGAGAGAAGATGAATTATTAAGAGATATTAAGAGGTTAGAAATTATGTTCTGAAGTTCAGGGGAAAGACAAAGGCATATTTGAGTCAGAAGCAGTTATGAGTTTAAATAACATCTATGTGCTGATGGCTCCCAAATTTCTCTCTCCCATTAGGATCTCTCATTGTCACTGGGGTGTTTAGTAAGCATCTCAGACCAGTGCCACGATCTCTCTGCTGAGCTCCCTGTGACCACCTTTGTCCTCTGCAATCTGTCCTCAGCACCAAAACCAGGTGATGCCTTTAAACTTGAGTCAGCGCATGGTCTGTGCTTCCAAGAACATCCTGGTTGCACCTAGCTCACTCAAGGGAGAAACCAATGGCCGACAGTGGCCTACGGGCTCCTGGTGTCCTCCCTGACTTCGTTTCTTCCATCACTACACACTCTCTCCCCTCAGTCACTCGGCTGCAGCCATGCCGACCTCCTCACTGGCCCTTGAACACACCTGGTGCAATTTGACCTTGGGACATGGCAGCTGCTCCACCTGGAATGCTCTTTCTCCAGATTCTTGCACGGTCCTCACTCTTCACTCCCTCGCAGCCTCTGGGTGTTTCTCAAAAGTCACCTTCATCAACAGACGTTCCTTGAGCATCCCCATCAAAAATGTCAGCACTTCCCTCCGCCTCCCTCTTCCTTCCTCTTTTTGAAAAAAATTGTAGGGGCTCCTGGGTGGCTCAGTCAGTTGGGCGGCTGACTTTGGCTCAGGTCATGATCTCGCGGTTCGTGGGTTCGAGCCCTGCATCGGGCTCTGTGCTGACAGCTAGTTCAGAGCCTGGAACCTGTTTTGGAGTCCATGTCTCCCTCTTTTTCTGACCCTCCCCTGCTCACGCTGTCTCTCTCTCTCTCTCAGAAATAAATAAAACATTTAAAATTTTTTTAAAAAATTAAATTAAATTTAAAAATTAAAAACATTAATGTTTTTCTTTATTTCTGAGAGACAGAGCATGAACAAGAGAGGGGCAGAGAGAGAGAGGGAGGGAGACACAGAATCTAAAGCAGGCTCTAGGCTCTGAGCTGTTAGCACAGAGCCCAACACAGCACTTGAAGTCATGTGCCGTGAGATCATGACCTGAGCCAAAGTTGCACACTTAACCAACTGAGCGCCTTCCTTTCCTCCCTTTTTATTTCTTCCTGGTGCTCACAAGTTTGAGCACACTCTTTATTATGCCCTCATCGATCACAAATTCATCTTTTTCTAGGTGAAATGAACACTTCACCTATTTGCCTCATTATCCTTCTCTTCTCCTGGGATGTATGCTTTAGGGGAGCAGGGATCCTGGTCTGTCCTGCTCTCTGCTGTGTCCCAGTGTCCAGAACTGTGCCAGGTATATCGTAAGGGTCAATAAACATTAAATAAATAAGATTAACCTGACTGGAGCTGAACACTGGATCCACAGGAGGTGAGACTTGGGGAGAAATCAAGGAAAAGACAGAATTGGTGAAGAGCAGGACCTCGGCATTGGCCCCTCTGAGGGGTGCAGAGGTAGGAGACGCTCCAGAAACCAAGGAGGCAAGTGAAATGACGATTTCAAGAAAAAAATGGCTAACGGGCACCAAACTGTTAAATAGGAGTCATTTTAGTAAAGGCAAATTCATGGTTAATGAAGAACATAGAAAAAAGTATTCTCAGAGACTTGGGATAGGAAGGCAAAATGGTACAGAAACTTTACAGGTCAACTTGGCCACATCTTAAAATGTAACCATAGACGGTAGAATCCAGCTATTCCATTTCTCAGTCTCTTCCATGTATATGTAAACTTGCACATGTACACAGAGGCATGCCCAGGAATATTCCCTGCAATGTTCTTGCTGATAGTGGAAATTTGAAAACAATCGGAGAAAGGACCAGCTTGAATATATTGTAGTACAGTTGTCACATGAAATGCAGTGTACCTGATCCATGTATATATTGACAGAGCTGGATCACCATGACATGACGTTAAGGGCATAAGGTGTGTTCCTGAAATCACATACGCTGTGATCCATCTTCCATTAAAAATGACAAAGTGGGGGCGGGGGGAAAAGGAAGAATTATGGGTGATTTAAAATGTTTTGTCCTATAATTGTAAGGTTTTTAAAAAATCTTGGGTCCACATTATATTTATAATATGATAAAAACTTTATGGGGCGCCTGGGTGGCTCAGTCAGTTAAGCATCTGACTTAGGCTCAGGTCATGATCTCGCAGTTCATGGGTTCGAGCCCCACATCAGGCTCTGTACTGACAGCCAGCTCAGAGCCTGGAGCCTGTTTCAGATTCTGTGCCTCACTCTCTCTGACCCTCCCCTGCTCACGCTGTCTCTCCCTCTCTCTCTCTCTCTCTCAAAAGTAAATAAAACGTTAAAAAAATTGAGATGATCAAAGGGAGAATTTTTATGGTTGAAGGAGAGGAGCATTGCAAGGTATCAGCAGGTGGTTGATTTTTAAAGTTAGTTTGTATATCCCTGAAGGATAAATCATATAATATCAGCAGCCAACATCACTGAGGGCTGACGACAAATGCCAGGGTATTAACAAAAGCAAAGCAGGGAGTATCTGGTCCCCACCCCTCTCCTAGCCGGTTCTGTCTCACACACACCCCACCCCCCACCTCTTTAGAGTCAATACCAACATCACACTAAGCAGAGTGGTGCATTCACAGGTCCCCATCTGTAAAATCTGCATCTGAATTCTGTATGTTTCTTTAAAAATCATAGCCCTTTATCATTTCCTGAAGTCCTGCTGGCTTTGGAAATATGCCTGATATTTCCTGAACTTACTGTGCCTTAAGGAATCTGAAAATTTTTGTTCTTTCTTTATTATCCACAAATTATAGTGGTTCAGCAAAAATGTCTCTATTATGGCCTCAGTATTAATGAAACTAAACTATGTAATGCTTAACAAAAAGTCCTAAGTAATCTCCTGGCCATGACTGCTCTTGATCTACTGTCCTTAGGTCTGCCAAATGGGCTGCTAAAAGGAACTAAAAGGAATTGAAACCAACCCATAAAAATTGGATCCACGCTTATTTAGCGACGACACCCTGTGTGCCATTCTCCCACCCCTCGCTATGCGTTAGCTGCGCACATTAATGGTCATCGGCACTGCATCTGTGCCAAGGAGAAGAGGGGGAGATGTCTGTCTGTCTGTGTGCCTTGACTCCCTAACCGGAAGTGTGTAAATCAGTCCCAGGTGGTGTCCAATTCCGCCAGCACTGAGAAAAGGGAGGCTTTTCCATGTCTGTTCAGTTTACCCAGATCGCCCTTGAAGGATGAGGTATCACTTCAAAGAGGCAGGCATTCCGCGGGTGGCCTTACAGCTTCTGGTTGATTTATGCTGGAGTTTAGCTACTGCCTTTGGAAAGACTTTGTTGCATGGAGTATATTTATCTGACCTTTCTTTGAATAGACAACCCCACAGCAGCTCGTAGGAAAGAATGGGTCCTCCATGTAGAGAGGTGGCATTTGGATGAGCTGCAGGAATTCCGGTGCTTCTCCAAGTTTGATCCCTTAAGCCTGCACTGACCACCCTACAGCTGGGCTCAATACACCCCGGACTGATGAGAAGTGGGCAGACATCCTGCGGGGGGATACATGACGTGGAGTTTGGGGTGGTTCATTGCTTTAATAAGAATCAGACTTAGGTCACTCAGGATCCAAGAGAGTCATTGGAGATTCCCAGCGCCATTAAATTGAGTTTGTTTTATTTAACAAGCTGTATTAACACTGGGCATCTGGTGGGGCTGGGGTGGGGGGATTATGGTCAGTGAGGAGACGTGCTCCCTTAAAGGCCCCGAGAGCCCATGCTTTGTGAACCATGTAGAAAGTGAAGTGAGAAGTGGTATGTATGCTCTCAAGAGGGTCTCTCCCTGTAGGGTTTGATTTGCCCAAGTATGAAGTAGACTCTCATTATTTGACACCCCCGCTTCCACAGGATGGGTTATTTGGGGCATCAAATCCTGTTTCTTAGATACGCTTTGCCATGAAAGAGTGCTGCCGTTCTCATAAAAGAAACCCCAAACCCAGGTGCTACGTGAGACTCAGTCAGACAGGGCTCTGCCCTCTGAGAAAGGAAAGGTCTGTGGCCCGCCGAAGGGTGCACACCTTCTCAGGGTCTCCTCTTGCAGAAGCCCCCCTCACTGACACGCATCACAGTGAGAAACTCCAGACACAGCCTGTGCCTTTCTCTCCAGAACCCCCAGGCCTTAGAGACTTGCTGTTGTGTGTTAGTAGGGTAGAGGTAACACCTTGCCTCCAGAGATGGGGTACGAACAGAGCAGCTGTTTTATTCCTGGCTTCTTCCTAACAAGTTTAAGTGCATTTCCCAGGAACATCTTCCGACAAGGCAAAGCCAAAGTCCTGGAGGCCAAATTGCCCCCGACTCACTTGCAACTTTTCCCTCTCAGGCTATCTGTCCCCTCTCCCCAGGGGGTGCTGCTGGAAGAGTGTCTGATTCCCAGAAATCTCTGCCTATACTGCCTTTCTGCTTCCTAGACTGTCCACTAGCCATCCCAAACTGCATGGATTGTTTCATTTCAACAAGGCATTAGTCCAAGCTGAGTGCCTTCCTCCAAAGATATTTAAGACAAGACACTTAAATAGGATACAATAACATAAATATGCCAGAGAAAAAGATGCGGGTGTTCCATAGAGAGGCGTTAGCCGATGCAGGGTCAATTAGGGCTCCCACTGGGTGCCCAAGGAGCGCTATCTTGTTAATGGAGATCCTCACTGAGTTACTCTCTGAAGATCCTTTCCAGAAGTGAAATTAAAATCACGCAATTAAAATGTTCACAGTTGGGGCTGGATGTTCTTGAACTGATTGAAAGATGAAGAAGTGGACATGCCAACATTTTGAAACAGCACTTGTCTCTGTAATTAAGTGCAATTAACTGGCATAATTGTCTACTTTCTGCATATAAGACTGATTGCAATGCTAAGACTTTAAAAAAACAGTATGCCCTTCATTGGATTCCTCATCCCAACTTTACCAAAATTCTCATCGATGCATGAAGATTGGCAAAATGGTGATTTGGCACACCGACTCTACCATCAATGTTACAGGGTGAACATATCAGGAAAATGGAGGACAGACATGTTGGAGAAAACAGACTTACATGCTGTTCATGCACATCATTTCTCCTAAACTCCTACACTTTTGTGTTTCCACAATAGAGAATAGATCTAACAACTTTTCCCTGGCTCTCTCCAGGGAAGTGATAACCAAAAAGCAACTTCCAAAGGTGTAAATAAAAGTTCAGTTCACTAGCTTTAAAAAAAAAAGATTTTGTTTCTTCTTATTCTAGAAAATCTGGAAAATGCTGGAATAATAAAGACAAAGAAGTTTCACACATTCTTACCAGAGGGATAACCACTGAGTATTTCTTTTGTTTTCCTATTATATATGCATACTTTAACTAGTAATGAAGATGTATTTTCACACATGCTATGCACATACCCTAATTGTACATATTACAAATATTTTTCTTGTTACTAAAAAATTCATAAACATTTTTGAAATGTTTAAAAAACCCTCATTATATGGACCTACCATCATCTTATGATTAGAACAAGAGGTTACACAAAGTATTTTCTATTATAAAGCTGCAGAAAGGAACCTCTTGTTACAAAAGTCTGGCTGTATTTCTGATTTTTTTTTTCCCCGAGAAGGCTTTCTTATAAGTGCAAATCCCCTGGCCAGAGTTCATTTTGTAATTCTAAAAATTTTTCAGGTTTTTGAGGCTTGTACTGTCAAATTACCTCCAGAAAGGTGACCAATGGACATTTCCATCAGCAGGATAAGAAGTTACCTAATTCCCTCCATCCCCTCCGACACTGAGTATCATCTCTATAAGAAAAGTTCAAAAACTCTTCCTAGAGACAGCTCCTAGTGGGTCTAGGGCAAATTGCAACCTAAACCTGAATTGCTCACGTCTCTATCTGTGCTTTCCAGCAAAGGCGAAGGCACATGGGGCCAGCACCAGCTAGATATCCAGCAGGGCAACTGAGGTATAGCCATGTGCTACAGTGAGCTGGAGAGTGAGCCAGCTGCTGGCATCCATGAGGCTATCCACATAGCAGGTTAGTCTAGACCCTGTCCTCATGTCACCCACACCCCCTCCATCTTTTCCAGCTGTGTTGGCCAAAGATGGACACAAGGTCATCCTCCAGAAGATAGAAGACTGGAATGTGGTAGAACTCATGGTAAATGAAGAAGTCGTCTTTTACTGCAACATCACAGATCTGGAATTTGGTAAGTCCTTCAGCACTGCTCCCAAGCAGCATTTTACCTTCTTGGAAACATGCTCAATTTCTAGTTGAAGTGGCCAGTGGGTTAGGACCAGATTCAAGTTGGGGTTTGTTGTGGGTTTTTTTCTGAGTCCTAAATTCTTACTCAAAGTCCTGTGCTCTGTGTTACATGAATGAGCACATCTTAAATGACACAAAGTGCTTGATGCTCCTTCCCAGAACACTAGACACAAAAGAGGGACAGAAAGAAAAATAAGGTTTTAGTCTCAGATTTCAAATGATGTAATGGGCACTTAGGGGTAATAGGTTTGTGGGTTTTCTCTTTTTCTTTCTTTTTATTTTCACATATTAACAATGCATGTTTTATTATTATTTGCCTTCAAAACAGGTTTCTTCCATTTGATTATTCTACCTAGGCTTGCTAAGACAATTAGAGTCAGTACCCCCGCAGTGCATGGCATTATCGGTGACATTCTAGGGATTTCATTGCCCTGGAGAGCTTCCTGCCTCACAGGCTGGCATTGTGCATACCGCACTCTGCTCAGAAGTAAAAGCTTTTGCTTTTATTATACTCTGTTAAAGGCTAGTTAACAATTTACCTGTCTGTGTACTTTGAGACTTGACTTCTGGTGGAAATTGTACGTGTGTCTTCCATGACATGAAAGTGTACAGAAAGCTGGTCAAAGGAAAATTATATCTATTTCCCTAGGAGGTGATGGTCAACTAGACCCGCTGTGTGAAAAAGCCAGGATAGCCGTCCTAGAGGCCTACTGATCTTCTCGCCCGGACAGGCATCTCAAGTCAACAAAACAGCAGCTGCCTCTGGCCCTTGTGTGAGGCAAACAAAAGCAGTTATTCCAGGATGCTGGGCTCTGACGGTCCAAGGTAATGCCTGTCTGTCCTTCAGCCTGCCCACCACAGGCTCTCTCACTCGGCTACAGGGGAACAAGCCCCCCCACCCAAATAATAAAAGCACATCATCATTTGCAGCATCTTTCAATCTCAACCCACAGGGAGAGTCCTCCAATATCAGGTATGCGTTGAGCTGAGGGAAATAATAAAATGCAATCTAATAACAGAGAGCCATCCTGTACTAATAACATAGACTTTGCCAGGAGCATCTAAGATTCCATTCTCTAGAAAGGAAAGAGCTAGGAACAGGTAAAATTAAAGATTGCGGGGGAAAGGTGCGCAGGGAGGGAGGAGAGTGGTCCTTGAAAATCTGAATCCAGAGTTAATGTCAGTATTTGGAAACCTGGCCATTTCTACAGGTTGATTTCTTGTTCCCGGTGCAATAATATTTTAAGTGTTAATGTACAATTACCTGAAGTCAAATCGTTGGTTATTCTTCACAAGAAAAGTATCTGCCCTCTTTTGCATTAGTCAGTCCAACAAGCCGTCCTCTTCTGAAGAGGGCCGGAAAAAGCCCAGGGCAGACGGATAAAGTCGCTGCTGGTAGGATGTTGGTCATGGGCACTGTAAAACTCAGCCATGTCAGAGGGACGCTCTTTGTACTTTCACGTCCTGTGCACCACACTGTAGTGCCCGTTCTTAGCTATAGAGAAATGCAGATATTGATCTAATGACGTTAGATGTGAGGTCATGGTAAAAATGCATCACACCTTGTAGAGGAAAGATAGGTTCCTTCATGAAAGACTCTGGGCTCCCTGGTGAAAGAGAAGGGCTTTCAGGGCCTCGGCATGGCCACCGGCGGCCTCCGGCGCAGCCCCCTTGGGGAAGCAATCACCCTGCTCCCCATGGCTTCACTGCACCTGGGAAGCCGTCCTTCCCATGACTCCAGGTGGCCTCAAACCTGCACCCCAGAACTTCAAAGGCATCTGTGAGGCGATGAAACCACTTGTACAAGTTCTTTCTTGCATGTGAGGAGATGGGTGATAGAATTTTCATTTTCAGCCAAAGCGTCACTTACCAGATTTCATTCAGAGATTACGATGCTTTAGCATTCTGGAAATACTTAATCATCCTCACTGAGAACCTGCGGCTAAAAAGAATGTCCCCCTGGCATCTGGTGCCAGTTCTCACACGTCTTCAGTAAACCCTAGATTCAGTCTCTCTTTCTCAAAGAGCAGTTTAAGTTATTATAGATGTAGAATTCTGCTTTCATACAAACATTTCACTCTAAGAGAAGTACATTTTCATTACAGCCAAATGGAAAAATACAAGTGGGGAAAGGATATAAATCTGATAGCATTTTGGTATATTTCAATTTAAGTTTCTTGTACTTATATCTGAATATTCATTAAGAGATAGATATATAAAGAAATTGATTTCACTAAGTTGAGACCACATTGCATGTACCCAATGTATTTTTTTAACTTAGCATTTTATGTTGACCTTCTTCCCAAGGGACTAAAACATTTGTCCAAGTATTCTATCATGAATCAGGAAGTTTCTTCCTCCTTGAATAGTGATTTCCACTTTCACTACCATAACTTTTTCGGCTAAGAAATAAAATGGCAAGCTTTCCCATCGGCATTCAGTGCAGGAACTTCAGCTTGAAGGACTCTGGCCCTTCCTCGGGCTCTGCAGCCCCTGTGTTGGGTAAGCACCCCACCAGGCAGCTGCCTTGCCTCACTGACACACACCCTTAACCTGTATTTGTGCCCTCCGAGGAGCCCTCCACCATGACCCAGACCTGCTCTCCTTCCTTCCCTGACCAGAGCAGAAGGGCACATAAGGCAAGATTGTACACAATTCTAAGATGAACTTGAGCGTGCAAAGCTTCCAGGAGACGCCTATGCCCCAGTGCTGCATTCCAGTTTCAATCAGGGTTAAATGAGGTATGAATCAACATCTCCAGAACAAATCACAAAGTTACCTCTGTGTGGTAGGCTTGGTGGGGCAGGGCTGCAAGACTTTCATTTCTTCCCTCTATGGAAGAAATGTTTTTCAGCGGTGGGATTTTTACTGTGTGTGTGTGTGTGTGTGTGTGTGTGCGCGCGCGCGTGTACTGGAATTGGAGGGTGCTTTTCAAACAAACATTTAAAATAAAATCAAGAATGTTGGGGTGACTGGGTGGCTCAGTTAGTTGGGCATCCAACTTTCGATTTTGGCTTGAGAATTGATCTCACAGTTTGTGAAATTGAGCCCCACATTGGGCTCTGCACTGAGAGTGTGGAGCCTATTTGGGATTCTCTCTTGCCCTCTCTCCCTGCCCATCCATGTTCCCCCCTCTCTCTCTCTTTCTCACAATAAATAAATATACTTAAAATATATTAGTGGCGCCTGGGTGGCTCAGTCGGTTAAGCATCTGACATCTGACATCGACTCAGGTCATGATCTCATAGTTCGTGGGTTTGAGCCCCATGTCGGGCTCTGTACTGACAGCTAGCTCAGAGCCTGGAGCCTGCTTTGGATTCTGTGTCTCCCTCTCTCTCTGCCCCTCCTCTGCTCATGTTCCATCTCTGTCTCTCTGTCTTTTTCTCTCTCTAAATGAATAAACATTAAAAATATTTTTAATAAAAATAAAAGAAAGAATTTGATATGGAGGTCATCTGGCCATATAACCTAGCCCTTCTTTGTCATTAAGAAGAGCTTTCTCTTCGGAAATGGAATCATTTTTCAGTGCCCAAAAAAATGTGCCCAAGTCCTCCTCCATCTTCCTCTGCTTATGTCTTCTTGAATATCTGTCTCCCTGTAAAGAAACAGGAAACATGGCTTGCTCCTGATTGAAGGCAAAAGCCCTCTGGGCTTAAAAAAGCTAGACATTCGGGTGCCTTTTAATGCTTTTTAAATGCCACTTAGTTAACTCACATTTTAACTTTATTAAGATGCCAAATCAATTTCATTGTGTAACATGAAAATGTGTAAAGAAAGTCTCTTCAGTAAAAGACATCTTTACTAGCTTTTAACAAAATTAGGAGCATGGCTCCAAGTTATTAGTTTTTAAGTGAAATTTGGAATCTCTAAAGCTTATTTCTTCTACTTTTAAAATTTAAAAAGAATGGAGTTTTTAGGAGCCTCCTTGGGCTTGCTGCCTGGGGCTTCACTGGCTATATTTGCCTTCTTGGTAGTTTCACCCTTAAAAACCCTGACAGACAATATGTGAAAAGTCCTTATATAAGAGAACTGTGTTAAAAATTAGTTTCCAAAGTAAGCTGCTAGGACATTTGAGCAGTCGGTATATGGAAGGGGGACCCCCAAAGGACTCTGTGTTCCCTCACTAGTAAAGGCTAGCATGGACACATATCCCAGGCAAAGTAACGCTGAGATTTGATGCACAAATGCCCGTGCTTTGCAGACACCATGGGGGAGAAGAGTTCAGGTGACGCGTGTTCATCCTGTGGGTGCCGGGCTTTTAGGAGAAATACACCGTTGGCCAAATCCAGGTGAAAGACAAGAAAATGCTGGTATGAAGCATAGAGAAATTTTCTTCCCAAATTGTCTGAACATTTTGTGGGAAAGACTCTATTTGTGGTTGTTTGGTTTTGGGTTTTTTAAAAAATATTCATTTATTTATTTTGAGAGAAAGAGGGAGAGAGAGAGAGCAAGCATGTGAGTGGGGAAAGGGTAGAGAAAGAGGGAGAGAGAGAGAATCCCAAACAGGTTCCAGACTGTCAGCACAGAACCTGGGCTTGAACTCACGACCTATGAGATCATGACCTGTTTGCGGTTATTTAGATAGCAGTGTGACCAGGTGCTCCAGTCCTGGCTATAAGCTGATGTTCTGAAGGGAAAGGAGACCTGAATTCTCCTCCGTGTGGGCCAGAGGTCACATCCCCCACTCCCCACTGCCATCCTGGAGGCCACAGAATGAGGACAGCACAGGCGAAGTGGCACTAGGCAGGTAAAAAGAAACAAGACAGCTAACAGCATAATGACAACCTTGGACACTGGCCTCGAGAGGGACATTGTGGGGAGTGAGGGCTGGGGTGGCCTTGCAGTGCCATGCAGCTGCTACACAAGAGAAGGCAGGCCCAATGGTCTCAATGCTCTGAATTTTCCCAGAAGAGTGGGAATCTAGATTTTTTCATTAAAACTTTTGGTTTTAAAGTGTGGGTTCAGGGCCTCTGGGTAGCTCGGTTGGTTAAGCACCTGATTCTTGATTTGGGCTCAGGTCATGGTCTCACAGTTCATGATTTCAAGCCCCACATCAGGCTCTGCCATGTCAATGTGGAGGCTGCTTGGGATTTTCTCTCTCTCTCTCTCTCTCTCTCTCTGCTCCTCCCCCAATTGCATTGTCTCTGTCTCTCTCAAAATAAATAAATAAACTTAAAAATTTTTAAGTGTGGGTTTAATTCTTTGAAAAACACTGTGCCCACCAAAAAACAAAAAGAAAACAAAAACTACTGCATCTGGCCCATTACCAGGGTGATCATATGTTCCTGGTTGCCTGAAACGGCTCCAATTTACACCTTCAATGTAGCTGTAATTATCCCCATAAATGATGAGGTCACCCTTCCCATGAGGCCCATGGCCCTCCTGTCCTAGTGAAACCACTTGACCCTACTATTTGGTTATGCAAATGAAAAGCAAAGACTGTGAAATGAAGACATTTGAGAAGCTGGGCCTCTTACTCTGATCATGTCTGAGTTGTGGGTAGAGTTGCATGCCCCAGATCACATTTCCTGGTGGGAAATGTTCCTCTGAGTGAGGTATTGGACCACATTTGCCAGCATCGTGATGGACCTCTTTGAATGTAAGTGCTCCTGCTTGAGTGGTTGTTCAGAAGAGCTCAAAAACAGAGACCCAGAAGACCTAGAAGAATGGTAAGCCCCAACCTTTGCTTCCCATGAGAGCATCAAGTTAGGGGAAGCTCAGTCCAGCCTATATTCATCATGTCCCCCATATATCATATTTCAGACCAAAACCTTCTGACTCCTTCAAGGAATGCACTGATGTTGTCATCTCTGATGCTCTCCTGTGCTCTGATTTAATGAGTTTGCAATGGGACCCAGGAATCTGCATTTTAACACAAGAGTCCATTGATTCCAGTGCATATAAACCAACTGCACTCTGAGAAAGTGGT